CACACCACTCATCACACACCACTCATCACACACCACTCATCCTACACCACTCATCACACACCACTCATCACACACCACTCATCACACACCACTCATCACACACCACTCATCACACAGCACTCATCCTACACCACTCATCTCACACCACTCATCACACACCACTCATCACACACCACTCATCCTACACCACTCATCACACACCACTCATCACACACCACTCATCACACACCACTCATCACACACCACTCATCACACAGCACTCATCCTACACCACTCATCTCACACCACTCATCACACACCACTCATCACACACCACTCATCCTACACCACTCATCACACACCACTCATCACACACCACTCATCACACACCACTCATCACACACCACTCATCACACAGCACTCATCCTACACCACTCATCTCACACCACTCATCACACACCACTCATCACACACCACTCATCCTACACCACTCATCACACACCACTCATCACACACCACTCATCACACACCACTCATCACACACCACTCATCACACAGCACTCATCCTACACCACTCATCTCACACCACTCATCACACACCACTCATCACACACCACTCATCCTACACCACTCATCACACACCACTCATCACACACCACTCATCACACACCACTCATCACACACCACTCATCACACAGCACTCATCCTACACCACTCATCTCACACCACTCATCACACACCACTCATCACACACCACTCATCCTACACCACTCATCACACACCACTCATCACACACCACTCATCACACACCACTCATCACACACCACTCATCACACAGCACTCATCCTACACCACTCATCTCACACCACTCATCACACACCACTCATCACACACCACTCATCCTACACCACTCATCACACACCACTCATCACACACCACTCATCACACACCACTCATCACACACCACTCATCACACAGCACTCATCCTACACCACTCATCTCACACCACTCATCACACACCACTCATCACACACCACTCATCCTACACCACTCATCACACACCACTCATCACACACCACTCATCACACACCACTCATCACACACCACTCATCACACAGCACTCATCCTACACCACTCATCTCACACCACTCATCACACACCACTCATCACACACCACTCATCCTACACCACTCATCACACACCACTCATCACACACCACTCATCACACACCACTCATCACACACCACTCATCACACAGCACTCATCCTACACCACTCATCTCACACCACTCATCACACACCACTCATCACACACCACTCATCCTACACCACTCATCACACACCACTCATCACACACCACTCATCACACACCACTCATCACACACCACTCATCACACAGCACTCATCCTACACCACTCATCTCACACCACTCATCACACACCACTCATCACACACCACTCATCCTACACCACTCATCACACACCACTCATCACACACCACTCATCACACACCACTCATCACACACCACTCATCACACAGCACTCATCCTACACCACTCATCTCACACCACTCATCACACACCACTCATCACACACCACTCATCCTACACCACTCATCACACACCACTCATCACACACCACTCATCACACACCACTCATCACACACCACTCATCACACAGCACTCATCCTACACCACTCATCTCACACCACTCATCACACACCACTCATCACACACCACTCATCCTACACCACTCATCACACACCACTCATCACACACCACTCATCACACACCACTCATCACACACCACTCATCACACAGCACTCATCCTACACCACTCATCTCACACCACTCATCACACACCACTCATCACACACCACTCATCCTACACCACTCATCACACACCACTCATCACACACCACTCATCACACACCACTCATCACACACCACTCATCACACAGCACTCATCCTACACCACTCATCTCACACCACTCATCACACACCACTCATCACACACCACTCATCCTACACCACTCATCACACACCACTCATCACACACCACTCATCTTACACCACTCATCGCGCACCACTCATCTTACACCACTCATCTTACACCACTCATCACACTCTCTATACCTTCGACCTTTAGACCTCAAAACACTGTTTGGGGTCTTTGCCGGGATTGTCTATAGTTGTCAATGTGTCACAGGCGCGACACCTTGGTCGGACCAGCAATGCTTGGGCAGGTGCCGACGTAGCATACGGGGAGAGGTACTACATGCAGTTGCTCTGACAGCATTGTTGTAGGATGCACAGGACGTGCATCGTTTGAAGTGTCCAATCCGTGAGCCATTCAACAGGTTTTACAACGACAAAAGCTGCACAGATTCATATCAGGTGCGCTTTGCTGTGGATCAACGTTTTCCCAAATGTCATGTTTATGCTGTGCTGCTCTCTCGGCAGGTGACGTCCAGCAGTTTCTTGGCAAAAACTCAACATGGAGACTGTTTCAAACCTACCTGGCTATACATGCCTCAACATATAGTTGTCCCAAAGCTTTTGCTGGTTTTGTATTTTGCAAGGTTTTTTGTTTTTTATTCGTGTTTAAGAACAGACTGGGAGAAGAGTGACGGACAATGGTCTATCTGCCCTTTCCCCACGAAAAATCTTTGCAATAAGGCAACCTCCCGGATGGTTCAGCTCTTTTGAGTTTGGGCGCAGACTTGTCAAGGCACCTTCCAATACAACAAGTTCCAGTGGCGAGTTTACAGAGGTTCAGAACATTGCTTGGACTATGTTGATGCAGCTTGGACTTCACAACCCACAGATGTGTTTCAATATACATCATGAACATAACATTCTTCGCTCTGCACGATGTCCAATTGGCGTACGACCTTATGCTGAGGCAAGCGAGCGCAGTGCAAACTTTACTGCAGCAGCAACATGGCTGAGCTTGGAAGGGACACATGCAAAATCTACAGCTTCTTATAAAGACAATAAAGACAATGTGCAACTTCTTGATTTTTGAATAGGGAGACCGATGAAGTCATAATTGATGTTGGAATTGCTTCTGAATCCCATAGGGATACTCCATGATACGTGAGAGACTCTCTGACAGCATTTTCATGTGTTGCTCTTCAACAATTATCCTTTCTCCCCCTTGCTAAAGTTACCAAGTGTCTTGTCTCCAGACTTAGTATTCCTCAATGATCAACTCTAAGTTGCCCAGTTGCAAATCGCTGGCGCTTTACTAGGTCATCAACCAGGATGTTCTCAACTTCAAGCTGATGTGCGGCAACAATGATGGCCTGGGCAACGGCGTCATGGTGACTTGACCAATTTGGAGACTCAAACTGTGAAAGCACATGAACATGTATTGAAACGATGCAGAGTTTTAGCAGGCTTTAGAGGCAACCCAAATAAAGGATATGCAGCCCTTTGGACAAGGTCAGGAGGCACGTGGGGAGTGTCTGCTCTGGAGCCTCAGCAGCTCCAGCCTACTGGCGGGACGTGCTTCTTGACAAAGATGGGCCAGCTCATGTCATGGCATTTTCAGGGCATTGCCGTGGTGTAAATATCTACTCGCATCTGAGAGTTGGGAAGTAGTTGTAAAATGCATTCATCCTTCCTGCAGCGCTGCAGTTGTGCAAGATCTTGCAAGGAAGAGAAGACTGATGGAGCATTTAGTGAGCTTGCTGTGTGAGGTTCTTTCCGATGAATCTATACATGCTACAAGATTTCTTCAACGGAGTGACTTGGCCATGCTTTGCCATCTTGCAAGTAGACGCGCGACAGAGTGCAGTCAGTGACTAATGGTGCTTTGTCTGAGGAGTGCGTTGCCTGGAGAAATATGTTTGTGAAATTTGCTGCTGGGCTGGAGTGAGGAACACCCTGAAGCGGTAAAAGAACGCAATTCCGTGTCGTGCTGATCTAGATCAACTATTTCCAGGACTTCTTGCTACATCATGCTCATTTTTGTCCCGTGCCAACCAAGGACAAGAAGTGGAATACTCAGCACTACCCTGACTGCTCGCAGAACGCCTGCAAATCTGGCTATTGTTCTGGAGGTGGGATGAGTGATCGTGAGGTGTCAATGTGCATTGGAGCTCGCTCAGGACGGCTGCAGGAGCCTTACACCGGTGCGACAGCTTATCAGGGAGACATCAGGACAGGATTGTTTCTATTTGTTTCTTTGTGAGAAGTGAGGCTTCAGAGTGTCTTAAAGCAGGACGCCTGTTGCCAGGGCGCAAGTGATTCCCAGCAACGCGCAGGCGAGAGAACACAACAAATAGATATATACTCTGACGTTCAGCGGCAGAAGGTCATGTTTGAGGGATGCCCAAGGGAGAAAGGTGACACCCATGGACACCTGTTTAGGGAGAACATCAAATCGGGAATGACAAATAGGCAAAGAGCAAACTTGGACATTGCAGCTGACCAACCACGTAGCCAGGCTCTTGCACCCGGATTGGTTGCTTCGATTGCGCCTCTTAGCTGCTGCATTCGAAGCTGTAACCGGACACTGAGAGTTGAGAAGGTCTGCACCAGAGTTTGCTGGTTTGGCACATTTCTTCATCGCTTTTGACATGAGCTGCAAGGTTCGCTTTGGACTGGGGCTTGTGAGAGGCCAAGGTTGGCCTTGCTTTGAGATCTGCACTCCTTTAGCAGACGTGCAATCACCCAAGCTAATTCATAGCGGCTACATTGCCTGCATAGTCCCTGCATAGGTGCAGAATGAGCTGTTTGTTGCAAGGGCGGTCTTCCAGCTATTTGCTCCAAAGGTTGACTGCTTGCAGACACACTTCTTTCATTTGAGCTCGGCATGCTAATGAAGGCATAGTCAAGCTAAGCTTGCCTAGGCCTAGATTTCCCATGCACAGGATGTTTCTGTGCGGGCGGGAGGAGGAAAAGCAGCATCCTGCAAGCTGATGGCCATTTGAGTGATGGGTCGAAGGGTCTGGACAAACTCGGAAGGCTTGGGAGTGCTGGCAATCTGGGAGGAACCACAATTACTTTTTTCTGAGGCAGAAACAGGTAGGTCAAAAGTGACCAGCCATGGCCCGGGCAGCTCAGGCTACTCATCCGAATTCATCCAATTTTTTGAAGAATGCTTCGATACAGGTAAGCTGGGACTTCCTGAATCTCACAGCAACACTTGATCAAGCAATATTGACACTCAATCTAGCACGACGCTTAGGTGCAAAAATTGCCGAAGAGAATGCGTGGCTTTAAAACAGGATTGCGAGAAAGCACCACGTACATCTGTAAAGTGCTGCCAGAATCAATACTGTATTACCAATATTTACCAATCACATGGTGGAGGTTGGAACGACCTTGTCAAAGTCAGCAAAGACGCAGCTGATCGGACAGGTGATTTCCGCTCGCTTTGCGGAGCGTGCAGAGCACCAGCACCACTCTGAGAAAGGATCACCGACCACGCATAAACACGATGTACCTAATGTCTAATGTAGCACTTTTAAGGACTTACTAGGTACCCGGTATCCTAACAAAAGGCCAGATGTTTTGGAATTGAACCGGGCTTGTTGAGGCTTCTTGACTTCTACAGCGAGATGAAGGAAGTTAGAGATGCAACGCGATCTCAGGCATGAGCTGAATTAGTGGAGAACCAAACGTTGAACCGCTGAAACCTATTATCCCATGATCCTATGAGTCACTTATCTAGTTTCATGACATAGTTTCGTAATCAAGTCATACTATCCGTTTTTGTTCTTTTGCAGAGGTTCGAAAAATCCCATTCACAACTGCCTCGGGCCCGGAAAACTGTTGCCAGTTAGACCTGAAGGCAAAGAGCTGTTGAATCCATTTGCAGTCAAATGCAAAGGAGGATGTTTGTAGTTCCGCTTGCATTGCGCTTTTGGCTACAATCTATGGACCCAGGCAACTCGCGCCTGTCGTGCAGCAAGGAAGGCGACAAAGAAAGACAGATTGCTTTCAAATGCCAGAGTGAAGTCGTAGTCAGGCAGCTAGCTGCGTTTGGCTGCCTTTGGCCACTTCTGATGCACTTGCGCTTGCTCCAAAGCAGTTCAAAACAAACTCGCGACACGGCTATATATATATATATTAATATGTAGCATTGTTTACTTGCAGCAATCAAGCCAATCACCTGTATGCCTCTATGTGCATTTTACAGCCGATAGAAATTCCACGTGAGCTTTGGGCGATGTTGGAAGGGTTTGCAGAGAAAGTTGAAGTACTACGAACATCTACGAACCGTGAACTTGTCGACGCCATGGAAGAACCATTCCCACCTTTGGCACCTGAAGGCGGTGAGCTTTCGGAGGAGATTCGTTCCTACCCCTTGCAACTTGAGCGTGAAGAGCTCCTTGGAGCTTTGAACTTTCTAAACATTGAGAAACCTGTGCAACCGCAGGAGGCTGAGTGTGAACAGGCGGCTCTTCTGGAGGCTGAGAATCTTACACGAAAACCCGCTCGCATCCTTGACCTGATGGCCTGATGCAGCTGCAGTTTGTTTGACAGGGATAAAGAAGCTTTTGTTTCTGCTAGAAAGCATGGGAGTTCATCGTGTTCAAGCTGCAAAAAATGCCCGTCCTCCTGGACAGCAACCACCAACGATGGTGCTTTTTTCCAGTTTTGTGTGAACTAGTGCGTTTTTAATGCAACATTGTGCCTCCTGATAGTTGCAACAGTCGTTCTCTCTGGATTTCTTTGCACTTTGCAGGTGGCCCTCGACCTTTCCGAAGCAGGCGACCTCTCTAGCTCTCTTGAGAAGCTAACGGCAGCGATATGCCTTGGCAGCGGCCACAGAGAATGAACACATGTCTTCAATTTGTCTTCAATGTAGAACTTCTTTTGTCTGAAGTTCAGAGACAGACTCGTCAACAAGGTTCAACAAATGTGCACCCTCCACTCGCTTGTTAATCCTTTGAAGGTTTCTATCAAGCGACATGCAGGTGCAAAGCTTAAAGACATTTAAAGACGTCAAACTCTCAGGCAGTGCCACCTCGTTGATGTACTGTCGCAGAGCAGACCTGCTGCTGCGGTGCCTGGACTTGGCTTTCAGACCTTGGCAAAGTTGAATCGGAGAATTGGAGGAAGAAAAGAAAAGAAAGGAAACAAATTGAATGAATGAAACGATATGAACCGCGTGCACATGTATTTGGGATGAAGGGTTTTTCTTGTGTGTCCGGTGCCTGCACTCCAGCGCCTGCATGCTTGAAAGGTTACAGCGTCCGCTTGCAACTATCAATGACTGCTCTGCGGCTTTGGCAGTGAACGCAGGCTCTGCAAAGGCCTGTGCGGCTTTTTGTTCCATGTAAACGTGCCTCTGGCACATGGGTTTGTACTTTGTAACTTGTCAAATTTATGTAAATGTAGAGTTAGGATGTTTGACTTATATAGGTGAATCATACCCCGAAGCATACCCCCAAAGCATACCTCCGAAGCATACCTTATAGTCAAGCATCCCGGCCCGGAAACTTTGAATAATACATATCTTCGTTCAAGCGAGCGTCATGCATGGTCCCAAAGTCATCCATGCGCGAGTCGTTTCATGCGATAACCACACCAACCTGTGCCACACGTGAACTGTAGTAGAATGCCATCACGAATACGAGCTTTTTTCCAGGCCTATAAGATCAGGGCACGGGCTCATGCGCAGCTCGAGAATTGGACGGAGGCCTGCTAGACGTTTTGTTGAGAGTGCACAAGTGAGGCTTAAAAGCTTTGCAGCCTTTGCAAAATTCTTTTCATTTCTTCCGTCCTTTTGGTCTCAAAATTTCAAGGCACAATCCGATTTCCAGAAGAGTTTGAAGATCGACTTCAATGAGGTGCAATGTGCTCGGAGAGTTCCCGACTATCGCGACCTAAGACCCATGCTAGGCAACAGAGGAGGAAGCGAAGCTGGTAGAGTCAAAACTGGCAAAAGCTTCGGAGGCAGGGTAAAAGCTTCAGCAGCTCCTTGGTTGTTTGTTCATCCCAAATGGTTCGAACAGTATTGGTATTTGGAGTTCATAGATATGCCAGGAGCACTTGCAGCGCTGGGAAGTTGTTGGGGGCGCAGACAAAGGTGGTGTTGTGGTGCGGAAGGGATTCGAGCTGAAGTCTTCAGAGGCCAGGACCCGGACTTCCCGTACGGGAGCTATTGCCATACTTCCACCTACTGATCTAATTTCTGTTATTTCACTAGATCACAATAGCTCCTCTAACTACTTGCAGTATTACTTTCACCCTCGAGCCACAGGGTCCTTTTCCCTCTCTGTTCTCAAGACCTGTTCTTGAATTCTAGCAAGGGCTCTTTCAATGGCTTTATCAAGGATCTGCCAGCTTGTTGCAAGTGCGACCAGGCTTCTTGCCGACTATGCACTGGAGCTATCGTGGAGGAAGTTTCGGAAGAACTCGACAGAGCAACCAACTGATCAAACCAGTCAAGCAGCCCAAGCCTTTCTAAGTGACTTTCTCTGAGTATGGGTCAACTGACTTCGTCATGCTTTGCGCATTTTGCACAGGAGCTGGAGCTAAGGGGTGAGCGGTTAAGATATCGCCGCCTGAGTGGCACCGGTCCAGATGAAGGTGAGTATTTTCTTTTTTTGTATATTTTTACAATAAACACATCTATATGTATATATATATATACATATATATATATACATACACTTGTGAATTTAGACTTTATTTATGTTTTTCTTTTTTACAGTTAAAGGGGGTGTGGGGGGGGTGGTTGCCAGAGGGCCAATCTCGGAGAGGCTAACCAGAGCCTGGTGGGGGAGAGCGCAAAAAAGCGGAGGCCCGGAGGTAGTGAAAAATGATTGTTTTTGGGGTGTTGTGATGCAAGTGATGTAATTGACGGCGAACAGTGCATCATCACTCACGTGGATGAGAGGAAAAGGGAAGCCAAGGGGATGTGAAAAGCGGTTTGAACTCACCCTCAGTTGCGGGCAAGCTTAGCGGTGGTTGGGGGCGCCCCTTTTTAGTTGCCATACCGAAGAGGGCACTCCCTGCCAAACATCACCACTTCCAGCTACTCCTTGTCCACTCACCCCTCACGAAAGCCTGCCGCTAGCCTCGCCCACGGGCTCCCACCCGTCTTTTCCCACTGATTGCCAGCACGCAGCAGGCAACCGCCCTTCACTTCCTTAGGGGTGCCCCCCCTCACCCCCGAAACAACCCCCACCAACACGAAAAAAGGCACCCCCCCCAACATGTATTCTACCTTCTCTTTCTACTCCTATTCAAGTGTCTGCAATATCGACTTCACTACATAAAGGTACGCTTTGCCCGATGTTCACCTATCACTTCATCTTGCACGCTCAAGGGGCTGCAATATCAACTTCACCACTTCCGGCAATTCTTTCTCCACTCTACCTATATACACATATGTCTCCTCCCGAAAGTCTCCCGATAACCTCGCCCCTCGACCCCCAATAACTGTCTTTGCTCACTGGTTGGCACCACACAGCAAGCTAGCACCCCTCACTTCCTTCGAGGGTGCCCTTGTTCACCTCCAATACGACCCCCAACCACGACGAAAAAAGGCACCCCCCCCCGAACCTGTGCTATACTTTCTGTTTCTACCTCCTATGACACCTGCGATGTCAACTTCACCACTTCCAGCTACTCTTTCTCCACTCTACCCTCCAACACGCCCCTGACCTAAGACGAAAAAAGGCGGCCATGCCTGGAAACGCCAAGCTAATCCTGAGGGCACCCCCCTTGGCGCAAAGGCTGGCTTTCGTCCCCTCCCTTCTCAGGTGATGTGCTTTGAGTTTCGATGCAACACAACAATACAATGCAATGTATGCAATGAATGTGGCTTGGATACTCGTGCACTTCCAGGATGGATAAGTATCTCCTTGAAGGACAAGGCCGGCACGGCCGTACTATGCAATAGAGGAAGGTTTTGCTTAGATTTCAAGGATTTGTTGCAAGGTGGGTTGGTCAAAGTAGAGCAGGACGTGCCTTGGAGTTGCTTGATAGGGCGGTGGCACATGAGAGTCCTGCCAGGGAGAGGCATACTGTAGGTGATTCAGGGTTGCTGACTAGAGTTGGGTGCAACTCTTTGTGCATCTTGACGAAAGGCAGGAAACTTGTTGTTGACTTATTTCGGATGAATCCATGACACAATTTTGAAGGTCTTGGCCTGCCGACTCGCGAACAAGACAGCTGATGCAGAAGCCGATGCCTTGAGTCCTTGTGTTGCAAGCACTGCGCACTCCATGAAGCCAACAACGCATCCGAGGAGAACGAGAACTTTGAAGAAGACGAGCCACCTTTTCCAGAGATGGCACCCAACGACATCAAGGACGAGCCTGGCAACCCATGGGGACGGTCACTGCATTTTTCTTCTAGGTTTGTAACATTCCAGCAGACGTTCTCACCGCTTTCGGGACTTGATTCTCATCCTCAGGAGCTGGAGGATGATGCGCTTGAAAAGCAGCAGATGCTCAAAGCGCAGAGTGCAGAACTGGCTGACGAACAGCATTTTGAAGAAGCAATGGAGAAACTCACTGAGGCCAGACCGCAAGGATTCTCTCCAATCTCACGCTTGTTGGGTTTCTTGTGCTTCTTGTGAAGTGGAGCTGCTCTGCGTATTTCGTTTGTCACATCAATTGTGTTGCAGATTATTTGCCCGTAGGCGATCATTGTGGGATGCGCGACAGCGCTAATGTATGGGAGGCTTGTTGCTGCGTTGCTTGTGTGACACACACAATTGTTCTTGCAAGTAATGTTAGTCTGCCTACCTATCCTCAGTAACGGTGCACTTAACGATTCAGTTGTTCCGTTTTCAATCAACTACTGGTTCCGGCCATTTGCCAAAAAACTTTATACTGTATGACGGGCTCTCTTCAACGTTTGTTCAGGGTGTTCAATATGCGTTGATGTGGACATCCTGAAGTTGTTGAGGAGCATGTTGTTGTTCTCCTTAATTGCATACCTTGTTGTATGATGTTGCATGAAGGCGAGCAGAGCTGCTGATGCGGCTTGGCAGACCTCGTGCAGCGATGCGCGACTGCTGCCGCGCTTTGGAGCTCAATCCAGACTCTGGCAAGGAAACGAGTAATTTGCGATGCACAGCAACCGGACATTCTGTATGAAGTCATTTTTCTTGTTTCAGAGACTCCACAAGGTGACTGAAGCGTGCCAGGCCTACAAGACGCGGGCGCGGGCAAATTCAAAGCTGAAGCGCTGGACCTCTGCCCATGCAGACTTCCAGGCATTGTTCGATGGTTATAGGTACAGAGAACCCTTTGTCGCCTTGGATTGAATTTCTGTCTACACTACACAAAAAATGACGCGTCCGCAGCCTGCAGCGAGCCTGCAGCTTCCACACCCTGCAGAGGAGGGCTTGAAGATAGACTACGATGAAACTACTTATGAAGAGTCATTGACAGTGGCAAGCAAGATGAAGGCAGGATTTGGATTTTATTTGTCGGGTCCGAGTCATTTTCTGAAAGAGTTGGAGTGTTTGCAGTGCTTAGTGTAGGAGATTACAGCAGTGGCCACAGCTCGTCGAGTGAAGGAGGAAGCAGACAGGGAGCGGAAGCAGGCGCCATCTCTGAAAGAAACTTCGCACAGTTTTGCAGTTGGTTGAAGGAGAAAAGACACAGCCAGTTATCACAACCTGAAGAGTTTCACAAATCTCAACTCGCCAGAGAAGTACTTCTCGTGCATGTGGAGACTTGGAGACAGGTTAAGGAGCAGGAACTACGGGAACAACGCGCTCGACATCAGGAAGAGCAGCAGAAAGCACAGGTGCGCAAGACTCGCAGCTGTTTGCTCCATCGAAGCAAGAAATACACTTGAGAGAGGTCGACCAACTACAACAAAGGCATGCGCACCCTCATCAAACTGTATGGAAATACATGTCCTTGTTGGGCACGACTTGGAGCAAACTTTGCAGAGTGCCTTGTTTCCTTTGCTCTTTTCTCTGCATGTCTTTTCTTTGCACTTCTGCTCTGCACCTTCTCACTTTACCTCCTTTTTTGCCTCTCCTTGTACCTATCTTGTATACGTCCCCAACTTGTGCTCTGGCAAAGAAAGTGTACAGCAGTAGTATTCAGGCTAAGAGTTTGGGAGATTGCTCCACTATTTAGTTTTCAGTGGTCACCTTATTGCGTTTGTACACCAGTGTAAATGACCACGCTTTTGGAAGACAACCGAGCGCTTTCAGTGCAATTCTTTTTGCAAGGGCATTGCACACCACAAAGAACTCATTGCTCTTTGTTTCGGATGATCCTGCACCATCCGCCCCACGTTGCAATGGACAAGAGGCAATATAAGATAGTGATAGTGTGCACAAGCAGTTGTAGTTACATATGGCACCGGACATGACGTTTGCATCACATTGGGGGACAACAGACTGCCAAGCATTGCACCCATTGTAACTGTATAGACTATATAGAGCAAAGACTGCAATGCATGTGTTGAGAAGGGACTTAGAGACTGAACTCGGCGCAGGCAAATGCTGCCCAAGCTCAAGCCGAACAAGCTGTGGCACAGGTGATGAGCGATCCTTTGCTGCGGGGTCTTCATCAGCGCGCCAAGAAGACCCTGGCCGAAGATTTGGGTTTAGGAGTTACAGTACGTAGAGAACGATTTCGTCCCAGAGTTACGTAGAACGATTTCGTTCTGACCATGTTCACTTCAGTTCACACATATATTGAACATGTCCAGCATTCACTGAGGAATGGCTCCTCGGAATTCAGGAAACAGGAAGGCGGCAGCATTGGGAGCAAATTGAAACAAAGTTCCTTTCGGTTGGAGCCTGCCCAGAGCCATGCCACCTTTGATGTGTCCTTTTCGAGAAGGTAGGGGGACGGGGAGTAGGTGTAGTGGTTGTGGTGGTGGTAGTGGTTCTCGTAATTGTTCGCATTCTGATCGCTGTTCCCGTCGATTCCTCAGGTTACATGGCTGACTTCATGGGAGTGAAGCGCGGAGCATGCAGCAAATGCAAGCATTGCCACTCAAATGCACGGGATTTTCACGAAAGCATATTGAAGCTACGAATGACTCAGAATGACGTTGCATTGTTCGTTCTCCTTGTATTCGGATGTTTCTGGAGTCTGGAGCTACGAAAATAGTGGTTCGCGAACAAATCCTCCACATCATTGTTCTATTCTAAGCAGTTGTCAGCTGTTTCCGATTTGTCAAGGTTGGCTCATGCATTAGCACTGACATGACAAAAGCTGTACTGCACTGTACTGTTATATAAGTTCCCCCAAAACCTGAGGAATCAATCAGGCAAGCCCGAGCTTTTCTGCGTCCAGTAGCTAGTAACGGCCTACTTAATAGCTAGCTACCTACTTACTTAAGCTCCCCTCCAAAGAAAAAACTATATATATAGTTTATGTCAGAATTGATTGTCAAAACTGTTACAACTCCGTGAGTGAAGCTTTGCTTCCCGAGGCGACGTCTATTTGTGGCGACCTGTGAAGCTGAGCAGCTGAGCCGCGCGAAGCGCCCCTGTGGACTGCGTTCTTTGTGGCTGCCGTGGCTTGGAAGAGTCGAGAGGAACGCAAACGCAGATGCGAAGCCAAGAAGTGACAGTTTGAAAACATATGATTGAATGATTGATGGATTGAATGAATGAATGAACGAACCAAACGGAGAAAATTGAATTATCAATAGTTTCTCCAAACAATGCTTTCTGTCTAGAGAATCCATCAGACACGCGCACATACACAGAGACGATTTGTGCTGGGAGGTATTCAAAATCACAAAGACTGTGGATTTGTGACGGAGGCTGACCTACAATAGAAACACGCGCACCCAAATAAGCTGTCAAAAGCAGCAAAGACCACATGGTTGAGGGCCTTTTGCAGTTTGCCGCACGCATGATGAGCAAGAGCGTCTCTGCCAATTGATTAGCTGATGAATGCAATTGCAGCTGCATCACCCAATTGGAGATCAAGGTTCCCAACTTTCTAGCAGCATCTTGGAAGCAGGACTTGACAAGGGTTTTCTAGCCATTCATCAGCTCTTGGCAGGGGTATGCTTGGCTCAGACGGTTCGGAGACTGACAATTGCGCTCCAACAAGTTTGTAAATAGCTGGACCAGTCGGAGTGATGGCCTTCTTGCTTGTGCCAAACTACTTCGCCTTGCCAAAACTGTTCATACTTTGACCTTGCTAATGTCATCGAACTTCTACAGGATTTCAGACTTGAGAAGCTGAAGTTGAAATTGATGCAACTTCATATTGCTCCTGCCTAGCGAATCAAGACTTCCCCAACCAGCCCTTCAGTACGATTCGACATCACCCCAATGCCAATGAGTTATGACACCCAGCTCCAAGCTCGTCTCACAAACGTTTGGGTTTGTCATGGCTTGTCTTTACGCATGAAGTTTTATCTGCTCATCAAAGGCCAGCAACAAGCCACAGGGAGAGCGGTCATTTGTCCGGCTTAAATTCAACATCTTATTTGCACACCTTGAATGTTGCTGGACTTTGGCAACACAGGTGGTGCCCATGCGGGTCAAGCAGTCTCTTTTCAGTGAACAGATCTTTTGATCTCTTTGATCGTCCCAAAGATGTGGACGCGACATTTAGAAGCTTTGCGGCTTTGTCAAAACGTGTTGACCGGGGAATCACAGAAGAAAGTTGTGTCAGGTTTTGCTCACTGGAGGATCGTTCAGTGTACCAGGTTTATTTTCACCAAAAGTTGCCGCTCTCTGAGCAGCAGGCAATTCTCGAAGAAGACAACCCGCATTGGAAGCAGGATTGCCTGTTACAGATTCTAAGTAGAGTTTGCATTGTGCTTCAGACATTAGATGTACCATATGCATGCATCATAGAGTCTGCAATGTAGAGCCGCATTTGGTTTGCAGGAACCCTTCAAGCTTTCCAAATTCAAGCGTGTGAGGGCAAAGGTGCAACACTTCCATCACTTGACACCGCATTGAGCAGGTTCCTCACAGCATTTCGGACATCGCTGTAGGTGACGTCGTTCCGACAAAAGTCCGAAGCAGCAGAGATTCTGGTCAGCCGGGCCAGTTTATGGTCAGAGCTGTGCTTGGGACTCGACCATGCTCATTCATGTTCCCAACAGTTCTTCACAACCAAGTTCGCAGCCTTTTGGCCAGGAGGAGTTAGACATTGCAGCGCAGATGAATGAGGAAGAGCCGAGGCAGGTGACACAATGTTTAGTCGGCGTGAGTACGACTTGGTGTATTTGAGTGCCAATGGCAAAGGCTTTGGCACAGGCCTTCTTTAAAGCTCTGCTCATTATTAACATGTTAAACTACTTCATGCAACATCATGTTGCTTTTCCATCCAAAGTGTTGCAGGTCGAAAATTGAAAATGACAAATTGCCCCGAGATGAAGGCCAGGAATCACCGCCTGCAGAAATTAAATTGTATTAAAGTCGTCAAACGATCGGATTCAGCCGATTCAGCAAAAAGACGGTCTCTAAAGCACATTCCTGTTCGCCAGATGAGCCGGTAGAGCAGTGAGGATCTCCGCGTCGAAACTGGCTTGGGAGATCTTGTATGATACTTTCTTGCTTTCTCTTTGTCTTACTACTAGCAACAAGAAGCTATTAGTAACAAGTGCCTTACTACTAGTAACAAGTGCCTTACTAGTAGTAACAAAGACGCTACTAGGAACAAGAAGCTACTAGCTTCCTTTAGACCTTTAGACATCAGGCGTCTGCAATCTGTTCTTTTTTCCATTCTTTCTTCAGTACCGCAATCCTCATGGCTTTCTTGCCAGAAGCAGTCCAGTTTAGTCAGGTAATGTCCTGACATGCTGAATTTGCCTCAACAGCTTGGACCTTCAAGTGTCAATTACACACGAGATGAAAGAATCGAACGAACAGGATAAGACATATGTAATATTGAGATCATGAGTTTGGGTTTATATATAATATGGCAGGCACATTAATGCTACTTAGTAAATTTCGTATCAAACTCAATGTGGAGTGCGCGACGATTCCCAAGCTGCAGTGCTGGGTTTCACTGGTGTCAACATGGCACAACAGCGGACCCTCCAGTTTGTCGAGACGCGAAGCAAATTCTGCGAAAAGGAAGTTGCTGCACGGTGTCTTTCCAAACTCCTTTCCCGATGTTGCTTGGCTCACACCCAAAATCACCCGAATGGTGCCATCGAATGCCATGTTTGGAGGGTAGCACATATGTGGCTTTTCTTCATGGTATCCCAACCCTGCCATCCCAAGTTGCTCAAATGCTGAGTTCTCACTCGGCTCAACAACAGCCAGGCAAACTATCGGTCTTCGGTCCCAGTCCATTTTGTGCAATCAATACCAAAGTGTGGCACAGCGAAGTTCCAGATCCTTCTGTGACAGGCAACTGCAAGACACAAGCCATACGTTCATATAGATACCAACATATTGACGTATCCATGTGCAAAATGTCATACTTTATATACTTTATCGAACAAGCACCATTCTTTCTTTATGCCGTACAAGTGCGGATGCGGCTGGTCCAGCAAAGGCGGTGCAGAGGACATGGCAGCTCATGTGAGGGGAAGGCCCCTTCATTACAAGGGAAAGGTCTCGTATGTTTTGGATCTTTGTGTTGGTTCATGTTTGCTGGTGCTTTGCCTTTAACTCTTGTGGCAAGGTTCATCTAATTACTGTACTGCAGAACTATTGATCTGGAGATGAAGATGTTCTTTGCATTTTTGATCATTATAGGTTTGCATTATTTTCACACTTGCATTTAGCTTGCGTGTGCGGGTTTTATGTTGACAAAAGTCACCAAAATGTACCACCGGGACATTTTGGCTCAAGTGACTTGCAGTGCCATGATACTGCATTTTGCGAAAAAGCGTTCCCAATCTCGCGACTACTTCCTGTCATCACGTAATGGCTTGGCAGATGGACACGGGATTCGCTGTGGTTGACGTCCGTGACGGCATGGTCATTGAGGGCGAGACGGTTGATGCAGACACACCAGTCCGGGATGGATGCTGCTGACCAGGCATCCTCTCAGATCAGCGGGAAGAGGGTGGCCATTCTCACTTGGTGGAGAATTCGGACTTGGGAACTCGCTGGACGGCTTTCAGCGGTTCATACAGCAGCCCCTGGCGGCTCCGAGCAGTACGTCCCGCTCAAAGCCATGGCCAGCAGGAGGCCATGTGGACGATGAAGTGCAGCGGGATCGCTCGGGCATGCCATCACCTTCAATGACATGCGCGCGGCGGCCACTTCCTGCTGGGCGTGCAAACTTCCTATGGCCACCTGCTACCAGCGGCCGTCCCCCACGATGAGACAAACAGGGAGACACCTCTTCCATGAGCAGGGGAGGCTGGTTTGGAAGAAAGCCAGGTGCCTCAGCACGCCCCATCTGCGACCGAGGCCAGTTGAAGGAGGCGCGCTCCATCAATGCCGGCCGTGGAGAGCTCCCAGGTTCCAGATGTTCCGCCCTCAAGCGGCGCAGGCGCGCTCAAGCTGCAATCTCTGGCTACCCTTTGGACGTGGCGTCCAAGATCGCCAACCCCCACCCTCCTCGCGGGTGGAAATGAAGGTGAGCTGTTGCGGGGCCTGCCTTGAGCTGATTTAACTTTGCGATTCACCGAGTCCAGATGGCGGCGCCGAAACGTCAAGGTCATTGCAATCCTGGAGGACAAAATTTCCGGTTTTTTGAGCAGCAAGACCATTCAGAAGGCGATGGGTTTTTCTCCGCAAGGAGATGTAGTGATGCCAGCGCCTCCCAAACGTGCTTTCGACCCTGCCACTCACCCGTGGGCATGCGCATTGCTGCGCTTGAGCTTGCTGCGCCGTGAGGGTTGTAGTGAGGCTCCTAGCCTGCATATCCTGCATGAATACAGCACTTGGGCGGGAGAGATTCTGCCTGGCGCCCCTGATTTTGAATCCCACGTCAACATCCTGTGATGAAACGGACAGGGGTCAGAAGAGTGAAAGAAAAAGGTTCTGCAGATTGTTTTGGAGCGTGGTTGGGACACTTTTGATTTAGGGCTTTATTGCCGGCTAACCTTTTTCTTCACTGCCGGGCAACCAAGGCAACCATGGGCTTTGGTTTGGTAGCGCAGAAAGTGTTTCCCACGCAGAACACATGAACTTGTCATAGCTTGTCTGTGGGAAACAAGCAGAGCCAAGGAGAAGTCCATACCGTCGACATAGCCAAAAAGCAGTGATGACTGGCAATAGGAGACGTGGATGCTTTGACTCCAAGACCTAAGCATTCTTTGACTGACGCACATAGTGGATGTATATACTGTAATCCGACTGTGAGTACATAGACGCATGGATTTTTGGCCTTACACACTTGGCTCAGAAAGGCATTGATACATTGATGCCACGCTTACTTTCTGGACAGCGTGAGATGGCATGAACTGCCTCTGAATGCTTTTCTGCGCAAAGTGAGAGCAAAAGTGTTGCTGTTGGAATTGCCGTTCCGACAAACAGCGCCGGTCTTTTGAGATTCCCGTCAAGTCAACGCGCGGCCACAAACAGTCTGCCAATCGTGCCCCTGCGTGAGCTGCAGCTTGCTCTGGATGTTATGAGGGTGAGGAGCCTTATTGGGGTCAAATGGCTGGGTTGTCAGAGCAGTTACTGCATATGTTCGGCTTTTAGATTTCAAACCAGGAAACCAGGCAAGCTGTCAGCTGTTGCTGTCGTTTGAATTAGCTTGCGCTTCCAATATTTCGATCGCCATGGGCAAGCCAGCGCTGGAAGGTATTGGTTGCCAAGGTGAGACACTGTAGCTCGATTGCGCGGTTCCACTGAAGATTATGCAGCTTTCAGATCCATGTTGAACATGAAAGACAGAAGAACAGTGGAAGAAGTGGTAAACTGGTAGAGCGCAATCTATGCCAATCTACAGTACGCTCTTAGATGACTGGCAACATATTGGCACGCTTTCCAGGTGCTTTGAATGCTTCCCCTTCGGCTGGAGAGGTGCGACAATCCACTCAGTGACTCTCGGCCCGGTGATCCTCGCTCCCAATCCCATTCTTTTTCATAGCAATGGCCTCCAACATACTAGCCATGGCCTCCAGCCTAATAGCAAATTAGTACTGGACATATTTATACATTTCTGTTTTTAGGGAACCTAAAGCCAAGGCGATAGAAGCTCTCAAATCTGTTCGCCCAGAGTTGGGCTTGCAAGCGTTGGATGCTATCCGCGGTGGCTCCTTTGAGACAAAAGGAAAAGATGCGCGTGCAGTTTCTCCTAAATCACATCGACAGCAAAACAATGAGTAGTTGCTTTGGATGCCATGATCTGGATGTGACTTAGGTCGCTTGGAGGCGCGGGATGACGCCCTCAAAAAGAAAGCGATCAGCGACATTTTTCCCACAGACCTTTCAGAGAACTCTATGGCATTAGCCCAGCGTATGATGCACCAATGCGATATTATTGCGTTCTGCATTTGTGAAGACTTGGGTTCAGGTGAACATCTACCATTGTAACACGGTCATCAGCGTCACTGGCAAAGGAAAGCTGTGGCAAGATGCATCGTTGCTTTTGGGAATGCTGTCGGTTTGGGAGCTTCGCCCAACTACAAGTTTTTTGGCACGTTGTGAGACATTCAATACTAGACAGATACAATGCTCGTTTCTGGCGTTGTTGTTCGGGAGACTTTCGTGGAGCTTGTAAGTCAAACGTGCCGCTACCACCGTGCTTTTGGGCAGCCTTCTTGGTCCAAGCAAGGCTCCTTCAACGCTGCAATCAGTGCCCGCGTTGAGATGGACAAAGGTTGGTCGAGGTTGGGGCTTCTGACTTCTGCCAGCGTATTCAAACCCCACCATGCCACACCAAAGATCTCCAAAGTTTTGGCCCATTGGAATGAGTCACGCCCACAAAATCCCTCCCAAGTGTTCTTGCCTGCTTTCAATACATTTTTATTGTACTACAGTCGGTCATATTCATTGCGTGCGTGCGTGGGTGGGTGGGTGGGTGGGTGGGTCAAACCCTGTCTCTAAGCGAACCACCGCACCTCTACCACCTGCTTCTTTAACTCTCCTTCAATTCAACTCACTGTACAGCTTGAGCAGGGGGCGCGGCGACTGTTCACCTAGCTGTGCTAACAAAGTGTGTAGCTTTGATAAGCAGGCGCAGCGGGCGAAGCCGGCGCCACAGTGGTTGTGGCCTAGAGTTGTCGTAGTGTGGAAACCACGAACTGTGCCAGGGATCTAAGGAAGCCCAATCACCTTGTTGCGTGTGTACAGCTGCTCGACGAACTTCATCAGTGATCTGACCCTGAAAAAACAAGATGGGTCTTTGCTTCAAACCAGCGGAGGGAGGCAAGGCAAAACCAGAAAGGCTGCGGCAAGCGTAACGAGTCTCCAAAATAGGAGGTGAGTTAATGTTGGATTTACGAAGGGCCATGGTCAATGCGTCGGCAAAAACCTGAGCTCGTTCACCCAGTGGAACAGGCGATTGTGAAGATTCAACATGTTGGTGGAGTTTGTTTGCTTGTGCAATCAAGCGATGTCGACGCACAGCGGCTCCGCAAGCTGTGCTAACAAAGGTCTGGTGTTCAGTTGGATGAGATGCTGGACGCAGCGTCTTGTACTGCTTGATGTAGCTCTTGGGCCCGTTTAAGACGCAGCTGGAGGACATCGTTTCATTCTCCTTTCTTCTTCAACTGTTGACCAAGCTGTTGACCCCTCTTTTCCATGAAGGGCTATCCGCTCTGTTGAGACTTTCTGTTTCTCTGACCTGCCGCCGTTCCGTTCTCCAAGACAAGGTCTAATCTTCAGTAACGTAAAGGGCTAGCGTTGCCGGACAATCGCAACTGATTGTGCTCTTGCGAGCCTATATCTAAGTCTAAGTGTGACCTGCAGTGCCGTCCCACCGCGGTGCATTGTGTGAACCCATTTTTTGGGCACCTTCAGCGCAAGCCCTTAAGGGAGATTATCACTGATCCCCAGCTTGCTCGATTAGTCCTCTGACTTCTCATCCTTCATGAGATTGCTGATCGAATGCCACAGGGCCTACCGATTTGCTCAAAGAATGACATGCCGCGCCTAGCATCTCCAATTTTTAACCAAAGAAGTCAATCCCAATACGTGTCCCTCAAGCCATCCCACCATCGTGCATCCACTGGCCATGCAGTACCCTTGGCGTTGTCCTCCGGCGCCCGCGGCTCCAGTACCACTAATGGCGCCCTCCGTTGTCCAGCTCTATACCCACCCCACCGCAAGCAATGCCACACCCCAACTTCGCACTCCACCTGACGCAGCTCCTCCACCCATGGTTGCGCCACGTCCAATTGCTCCCCTGTATCGACCGCGACCACATCCAGGCGCTGCTCCGCACCCACCGCAACCACTGCCACTGCCTGGACCCGCCTACCAGTCCTCCAGACGGCGCCATCTCCTCCGTCCACAAAAACCGCTTCCGCTCCTACTACCATTGCTCCGCCTTCAAAACGATTGTCCAAACCAGTCACACCATCCAAGCCAGTCACACCCAAGCCACCGTCCAAGCCCAAGACGCCCAAGCCCCAACCGCTCAAAGCTCCAGCGCTCCCGCGCACCTCCTCGCAAACCAGCAACACCACCGCCCGGCCACGCGCTATATCCCAATCTTATTCTTCACGTCGACCAGTCCAACTTCTTCCCAATCCACGCTTTTCAGCTGATGGCGCCCACTCTGATCCGTCCCTTCACTCACACTTTGACGTGCGCCCCCGGCCCGAATGCTTCGACCACCGCTCCCCTACACGGCAGATGAGGCCAGTGTTTTCACCGGTACCTGGACAACGCACCTCCACACAATTTCCCTTCGCGCAGTTTCTTCAACAGTCATTGGAGCCGTTCAAGGCCTCACTACCACATGGAATCTCACGCACTCCATATCCACACTCACCATCGACATCAACGCTGCTGGCCGCCCCCGTCCGGCGTTCCCACATCGGCCGCCATCGCTGCTGCCATCCCGCCGAACGCGCAATTGACGCGCTGCACATTCCCCGCGTAGTCCAGCCCGCGCTCAGCATGCATCTTCCAAGCCTGCGCCGCCTTTTTTCGAGCGCTCGTGGGCCCAACTCCACCGCTCGCTCACTGACCACACACAGATCCACGTCATCTACTACCGCGCGCTGCGTTGACAACCGCTTCGTCGCGTTCAACGAGACTTTCCTCGCCCGCCGGCCCATTCAGACATTGAGCTCGAGACCGTTGACGGCTACCATTTGCTTGGCCTCATGGCCTAGCCCCCAGAGTCCACGCCGTCCACACGCGGTTCTGGAGGAAGCGATCCTCACCCTGATCAACCTGTACGCCCAAAGAGGGCATAACCCCCGTGATCCGCAAAAAAACAGACAGCAGCGAGCGGCGTGCGCGGTTGGGCATTTTATGCTGATCAGGGAGCGCCGATACGGCTTTATGTGTGTGTCAAACCCTGTCTCTAAGGGAACCGCGCACCTCTACCGCCTACTTCTCAACCCTCCTTTAATTCAACTCACTGTGCAGCTTGAGCATGGGGCACGGCGACTGTTCACCTAGCTGTGCTAACAAAAAGCTCTGGTGTTCAGTTGGATGAGATGCTGGACGCAGCATCTTGTACCTGCTTGATGCAGCTCTTGGGCCCGTTTAAGACGCAGCTGGAGGACATCGTTTCACTCTCCTTTCTTCTTCAACTGTTCACCAAGCTGTTTACCCCACTTTTCCATAAAGGGCTAACGCGCTCCGTTGAAACTTTCTGTTTCTCTGACCTGCCGCCATTCCGTTCTGCCAGTCGAGGTCTAACCTTCAGTATTGTTAAGGGCTAGCGTGGACAGTCGCAACTGACTATGCTCGTGCGTGCGTGCGTGCGTGCGTGCGTGGGTGGGTGGGTGGGTGGGCGGGCGGGCGAGCGGGTAGGTGGGTGGGTGGGTGCGTGGGTGGGTGGGTGGGTGTGTGTGTGTGTTTGTGTGGACTCCATGATGCCAGATAACTCATGACTTAACTCTCAAGCTGTAGTAGCTTGAAAAGTCGAATTCAGACATCGTGGATGCCTAATTCAGTATTTGTCGTCTAGGTCCATCAGCATCCTACAGAAGATGCAACAAGTACGAGTTGAAGCAGAGACTTGGACCTGCATTGACAAAGACTGGGAACTTTGGCATCGCCTCAAACTCCTTCAGCTGTCCATCCCCCTCAAATTGGCAGGATGCCATCACTGGAAATAGTGTTGCTTCGGCATGTCGGGATGAGCGGGGTTGGCCTTTGTCGCTGGCGCTTGCGGCGCGAGATCTCGTGGGCTTTGGCACTATGATGGCTGCTTGTGAGGCAGTGGTTTTTCTCGTTAGCCATTCAAACTGTTTCTTGACATTGACTTCTTGTTTATTTTGCCAACAGAGAGCTGAACCCAGAAACTTTCTAAATTGAAACATGCAAACACGTAAGCTGGTTCGTGAACGTTGTTTTGCCAGCGGGTACACGCTCGCAACCCTCACAGAGAAAACGGTATATAACGAAAAAACTGTTGGATGTTTATTGCTTTACCGCACCGTTCGGTGATATTCATAGCCAAGGAACCTTACCAAACAGATTGGTACAATTGGGGTCGGATTCTTTCTATTTTTAATTTATACATTTTTATATTGTGCCTTTCGGGAAAAGATGATAGCTGAAGGACCCGGGCAACGTAATAAAGCAAACATGTTTCATTTTTTACCGGCTATACCACAGAGATTGGTAAGAATTTGGTCGAGCCGTCACCTTTGGTAAAAAATCTAGCGGAGGGACTGAGCAAAGCGAAAAAACACATTTTCCCGTTAATTTTACCGGGGAAGCGCCTCAGGGGAACCCGTAGCCCGAACAACAGTGCTAAAACAGCACAGCATGATAGGTGAGCAATTTTCAGTGCCCCTTAATTGCTCTCACAAGCCTGGATTTCAGCACTCTGAGTGGAGGAGAAGGGCTGATTGTTGAGGCCTCCTAATTGCATAGTTATATACATCATCTCGTCTCAAGCCATCAGAAACGACATAATGTACCTCAAGAGTTTGTCACTCTGACCAAGCCTTACACCCCTCCAATTGCACACATTTTGCTTGACCGCAAATACCTTCTCCTTCAACCTGCGGGCCACACCTGACTTTAATTCCAAGCCACCTTTGGATGATCCAGAGCTTTTCATGCTACATGCGGATGCCAAACCTGCTACGGGCCTAGCCAAGTTGTAGCCTTGATGAACAAAAGCTGACTGTGGGCGTGTATGGATTTGTATTGCGGAAATTAAAGGGTAAATGCTTTGGTACTGACTGGCTCGATACTCTTTGGTTCAGCCTTGTAGATTCATTGCCAAAGACAATGAGCAGTAAATCATTGTCTCTCAAATCATGGCGAATCAGCACTGTCCCTGAGTTTGAGCAGGTCGGTTCCTACTGGCAATTAGCTATGCAATGTTTGAGGAGATTGCCCTTTGCCCTTTGAAGAGTTGAAGAGCACGCAGAATGAGACACATGATTCTCAGTGAGATCAACTTGGCAACTTCACACACTTGGATTTCTTGAACGTTTTCTCAGAAGGACTCTGCCTCGAAGTGTTCCTGTGAATCGAATCCTTTACAATGCAGTCATCAGTGACGCTTGGCACATGTTGGCATATAGAAAACAGCCAATATCCAGATAGCCTGATGAAAAAGTACAGCTAGGCCTTGTTAAGCCGAGCAGGAACAATCGAAGAACCATAGAAACGTGTTGCAGGAATCACGCCGGGAAACAATGGTTTAGAATGAAACGATTCATATCAATTGAAATATTCCCGGCTGTCGTTCCTGCAGTCCATTTCTGTGACAATAGAAATCATCCTTGCCAACTCAACCAGCCTGAGGCCTGTGCAAGCTGCGGTGAGTGGCAACAAGCATTGTTTCTTTTGAGGAATATGCTGAGCTTGAGAATTAGAGCTGACACTTGGCGCCATTCGCATGCTCTACCGACTCTTCCTCGAACACACAGCCTTGTTTTGACTTCAGGACGTGGCAGATTTTAATGCATCCATGGGAGCTACATCGAATGGTTCCCAATGGGCTTTCTCCTTATCTATCAAGGAGGAGCTTTTGCACCGCAGGCTGTTGTCCCGTTCACTTCCTGCTCGGGAGCTGTGTTGGAACAAGCCGGCTAGAATCTGTGTCAATCAAGTTCCCACGCAGACTGAAATGGCTAAACGTAGGTGCCTTTTGGCCTCAATGCAGAATGCAGAGCAATGTTGCATATGTGGTGGTGTACATTCCGGTAATTTGAAGATACAGCCTTGCAGGCTGAAGCTCAGCCTTGTCACCGTGAACATTTGCATTGGTGCCGCAGAGCATAGCTGCTTGAATCAGATATCAGTCAGTGCCTAGCATAATGCATGCGACTGACGCTTTGATATTTTTGTATAGGACGCTACTAGGGGTTCCTGGCCTTACTACTAGGAGCAAGGACGCTACTAGGGGCTCCTGGCATCGCTACTAGGAGCAAGGGCGCTACTAGGGGCTCCTGGCATCGCTACTAGGAGCAAGGACGCTACTAGGAGCAAAGGGCATTTCTACTAGGAACAAGAAGCTACTAGAGAGAGAGAGAGAGAACTAGTTTGTCCCAGTTCTCCGTCACTTGCATGTGCTCGTGTGCAAGGTCAGTCATGGGAGCTAACACTTCTCGCACAAGACATGCTCAGGTCTTGTCTTGACAATGACAGCTTATTACTTATTTCTGCTTCTTCTTCTTCTTATAACTTCTTCGTGAACTTGATCACCTTGCCAGGTCGCAATTACTGCCCTCAACTGTGACGTGGGTTGCCCTGGTGACCGCTACGACACATGATTGGCGGCGTTCGCTCTCAGTGCTTGAGTCTATGTGTCAGGACCTCTCAACCACTGCTGTTTGTCGCGCGATTTTTGAAAGCACAGCTATATACAAAGGTGGACGGGTGGACTCTGGCACGCTTCATTGAGTGCAACATCCATTCTTGCTGCATGCCGCAGAGCTGCCAGAATGCAGCCAAATGAGGTACTACAAGCTACAACCAGGCTTCCCGCAGGATTGGACGATTTCGTTTGGTTTTGGTCCTGTCAGGAGGTTATATGCTGCAGCTATGTGCCATTCCGTGCTGCCATGGTAGCTAGCTGGTCCTGTGCATTGGGCCTGATGTCTCGCCTTCCACAGGCCTTCCATTTTTTTCCGCCACCACTTTGATGGTGGACATATTGCTGGATTTGGTGACTGGAACAGTGCCCCAGGCGAATGCATCAACCGTCACCTGCAACGCTGTGATGTCTGCCTGCAGAGGTGAAGGAAAGTGGCAGGCCCAATGTTGATTATTCGGAGGGGTTTCGCACGGCTTGACGGGCTGACTTGTCTTTTTCAGGCTCGTTCTTTCTCAGTTTGACTCCTTCATTCCGCCGAGCACGGAATCAGATCGCGAGGAGGTGGCCTTGACTTTCTTCCACATACGACGCTCTGCCTTCGAACCAAACGAGCCTTGGCCGCAAGAGGATGGACAAATGAGATTGGCACAATCCTGGCGCCTTATTTTTGGCGAAAGATGGACTCCAAGGCCATTAGTTATTTGACGGCCATCAGTGCTTGTGAATCAGCGCCTCCATTGAGTGCTGTCCTTGAGTTTTTCTGAGAGCTGAGCTGTGCCTGCGCTTTGCAGGTCACACCATGGTCAGCCTTTTCCGGTCTTGGCAAGATCTAGAGTCTAGAGTCCTAGACTCTAGAGCTCCTTAGCAGCAAGCGGTACTGTCTCACTGCTAAGGCGATCAGTGGGAAACTGCCCTCAGGCTACTTTTTGCAATGCCTGCTCAGCGACTTCCGATCACTGCAAGTCCCTGCAACAGCATGCTGACAGCATTGATTTCTTACTTCAGTTTTCCTTATCAATATCAGCAACAGGCACAGAGTCACAGTTGCAATCAGTGGAATTGATAGACAACAACCGACCGCTTCTATGCAACAGGTGCTATAAGCGCTTGCGAAAAAGCAGGTTCAAAGCTTAGTTTCAAAGGTTTTCTCTTGCATATTTACAAGGCGATGCCAGTTAGAGGTGACTCGATCTTTGCAGAATGCATGTAACGAGTTGCTTTGTTCAGGAGCCTCTTGAAGATAAATTGTGTGAGATAAGGACAGTGGCAGCTTGCAGTATTTCTGCTGTGGTCAATGCCACACAATCGAATTCCAGTAGACGAGATCAGCTACGCTTTTGCAAGAAAGGGTGAGCGGATCAACGGGTCATTTAAGAACTACTGCGCTCTCTTCTTGGTTCTTGCTTGCTTCGCTGTTCGGTCGTTGGCCAGAAAACACATTTTCTACCCCAGGCTTCAACGCCGGGATAAGTGCCTGCTCGAAGGCCCCATCCAGATCCATTTTGCTCAAAGTGCTGTGCACCCTGAGTTCACTACAAGTCTCAATTAAGTATCTTGTGGATGCATCAGAATCATCACGCGCTCCAGGGAAGCGAGTGGGAACTTGCGCTCGTGTTGCTTTCTTCGATGCCAGCAGTTGCCACGGTTACTTGGCCTTTGAAGACATGAGGCAATTGCTGTTTTGCAGGCTTCTGAGTCAAGATTCAGCCAAGTAAAGGTTCATAATTTATCAGGGTTCATGGGTGCCCAGGTTTGGATAACTCAACACCCAGCAATATGTGAAGTGCAAAGTAAGTATTCAGTATCCTGTCATGCACGCTCTTTATATCTCATGCTTTTTGCAGACTGTCACCTACAACGCGGCAATCACAGCATGCGAAAAGGCAGGAGCTTGGGAAATTGCTCTTGCGTATCTCGGATGCATTGGTCATTGGGCATCGCTACTAGGAGCAAGGACGCTACTAGGGGCTCCTGGCCGTACTACTAGGAGCAAGAAGCTACTAGGAGCAAAGGGCATCGCTACTAGGAGCGATCGGACGCTACTAGGGGCTCCTCACCCTGTCAGGGGAGAACGCCATTTGAGAATTTGGGCTCTCGCTCCCGTCCTTAGGCTCCTCCTGAGCAGCCCTGCAACTGATCCAGTCTCCTGGAGTGCTACAATCAGTGCCTGTGAGAAGGCTGGCCTTCGAATTCGTCATCTCTCTACACATCTCTAGACATCTTGATACAAGCAGTTCCCGGGCAAGCCGGCGGCGGAAGTTTCCAATAAGAACAAATTGACCTATAGGAGTGTCCCGGTTCTTTCCACCATGCGTGTCCCTCGTGTCCCTCAGTCAGACGCATGGCTCCGGACTTTTGACCAACACAGCGCCACCTGTGCAAGGTCTGTGCTCCCTGATGTACTAAAGTTGTACTACAAAGTCGCGTACTAAAGTTGTACTACCAAGTCGCCAGTTCTCAGCTTCCAGCTCCACAGATTGCTCCGCGTACTAAAGTTGTACTACAAAGTCGCCAGTTCTCAGCTTCCAGCTGCTGAGAGGTTGTGCCTGCCACGAAATCTGCACCTTGAGGTTCACAAAGTGCTGTGCCTGCCACGAAATCTGCGCATGGAGGTTCACAAAGTGCTGTGCCTGCCACGAAATCTGCGCATGGAGGTTCACAAAGTGCTGCGCCTGCCACGAAATCTGCGCATGG